GACACGGTCATACAGCTGTGGCGCTGACGTTTCAAACAGACCAACTTCAACGAACACGAGGGCTCAGCCGCTCACGGCATAGATGCAGCTGAATCAGCTAGCAGGGGTGCATGGACGCAGAGGGATCGGAGACCGGCGCATTCCGCCCTGGGCTTGGTCAACGATTTAAAATGAATGTTTTCAGGGTCACATGCATTTGGGGTACAAACCAAAATACGATCGCGGTTGAGTTATTCATTCTTAGGTTGATTTTACGGGGAAAATACGATACCATCATAGGATACGATTACGGATACGCACACGGCAGTTACTTTTCATAAATGTCCGACTTATTTTGAATTGCCCGTTGCCTTTATTTTTCTGTATAGCGCTGAACGTTCTGGTAAAAATGACGATATCAGAAGTTTCTACATTCGCAAAATATCTCAGTAAATAAGGAAAAGTGTAAAATAATAAAAGTATACACTGCTCGAAAGTCGATAAAATAACAAATGCTTTCAGTCGCTCTTCTTTTGCCCTCCACTTCCACTAACCTGATTCGATACAAAGCCATTCAGTACCGTCTCCCCCTGGGTGGTGTGTATTTTTGGGGGACAGCTGGCGGTAGTCGCGGGCACCCCACGGGTCCTCCGCCTCGGGGGCTCCCAACACCTGGACAGTGGCGGTGGCCGGTCCACACCTGCCGCTGCAGCACTGGGAGCGGCAGCAGGACAGGAACCCGAACCGACAGCAGCAGTGGCGTCACAGGGACGAACATTTTCGGTAATCAGCAGAGTATCTGTCCGTCTCTGTCATCCTGTATCCGTCAGCTTGTCCGTCTCTATCCGTCTGTCAGTCCAGCGGCCCGTTTCCGTCTCCAAGTCTGTCAGTTTGAACATATATCAATCCGTCGGTCAGTCAGTCCTTCTGTCTTTTCGTTAGTCTGATCGCCGACTTCTCTTTCTGTTTTCCGTTACCTCCTGTCGCCATCCCTGGTATGTCCTTTCTCCACATGCATTGCATAAAATTAGTAAATTAGTACATTGCATAAAACCGAACAATGTACATACTTCGTACTATCGCGTGGCTCGAGAGATGGCGTTCCTCACGTTCAGGTAAGCATATCTCCTTTTTTATGGAAATCTTACATGAACAGAATGGAATCCCAATTATACATTTTGTTTGAAGTCCGTAAAAACTCTATGGAGACAGCACGCGCCACTGAGCTGCCATTCCTGGCGTTAAATCACGTGTAGGACGCCGGCTGACCGCCCGAATACCAATGTCGTCACGGTGACATGGCCTTGGCTCGGCTCACTTCAGCAGCCCTGTGCCCCACCATTGGTTCACTGTCCCACCGCGTAGCGGTTTTTATTATATTTCGTTTTTCCTGTAGATCACTACAGTCGTTTGCATCCGCTGATTTATCCGACCTTTTCATCCCGATGGCTCAATTCCGAATTCCTGACGGCTTCAGTTTCCCATGATGTGCCCCATTGCTTCCGTACCTACCTACCCCACTGTATGTATACCTTCGTAGGGGAGAGTGGGGTAATTTGGCCGGTGGTGTAAATTGGCCGCCCCCACCTGTACGAAAGCGGATAAAAGTGAATGAAATAACTTTAGTCTCTATTCATTTGTCATCGGTAGAACTAACTCGAGGACAAATGTCAAAACGTTCTCCCTCTTAGTTTTATTCAAAATTAATAAAACGTGAATTTCGTTAGAAAATGGTAACTTTCACTTCCGCTTAAAAATTTGTATACCATGTAGTATTTGGGCTGTAAACAAATTCCAACATTATAGCACCATTCTTGAGGGTGTTCAGCGGTTCCAAGAGCAATTCCATCTAGTTCGGTACAGCCATGACAACTTTATAGACACAAATTTTCAGAATGGCAATGTGGGGTTATTTGGCCGGGACTAGCGGGGCAACTTGGCCGGTGCGCTCAGAGTCACGATGCTGGGACGGCCGAGTTGTCATGGTCAATTATACCATAAAGGACATAATTCATGAGCAACTTTGACTACCTTGATGTCATATTTCATATTGGACAGCTGTAAGGGCATGTGACGTCATCAAAGGCTACCTAACGTTTTTGTGCTTGTAAATACTTACAGAAAAAAGATACAGCCGCGCAAATGGTCTCATTGTGTTCAGCTCGTCAAGGCGCATCGGATGATATACATGATGACCTTGAACTCACGTAACCTTGAGGTCAAGCGACCTGAGGTAACGTGACCTGAAGCCAACCTTTGACCTTGACCTCTCGAGGTCAACACATACATGTTTCGATACGGAATGACAAGAGAATTACGATGGTACTTTTAGTTTTGGCCTAGCTTGATTACTTCAAAAGCTATTCGTAAAAAACTGTCATCGCATCTAGAGCCGCTATTTTTACTATTTTCGACCCCTGTGACGGCTGAGTCAACCTCTAAAATGCTTCAAATGCGTCGTAGGGCACGCGTCATTGCTGAATGTGAAGCTGACTCGCCTATAACAAAAATCATGGCCTCAAACTAACACCGGCCAAATTGCCCCACACCCCCGGCCAAATAACCCTGCTAGTGGGGCAATTTGGCCGCTTTGCAGGCCTTTGTAATACGTCACAATTTCAATATAAATAGTTACTCTATCATTTCAAGTTTACTGGCCAGTAAAGTAAAATGTATGCCACACCTGTCAGCGTTGAGAAAATGCAGAAATGTGTTGTCAATTTTTAGTTACATCGTTTTCTAAAAAAAGCGGCCAAATTACCCCACTCTCCCCTACTCCTCCGTATTCCGCCGTCTCTAGCCTTATCCCTCCGATGGCGGGCGGACGTCATCGGCCGGGCGCCATTCCGCCGTGTCGATTACCGGCGGCGTCATCCGTCATCCAGCCGACAGACGTCATCCGTCATCGCAGCGACGGCCGGCGGCCGGCCTGCGCTGCCTGGTCGGCCCGAGACCGCGGAGGGGCGATGTCTGTCTGCTGGTCTGTCAGGATATGCACACTATTTGGTAGAACATTGTTTCGCAGTGCGTGTGTTCCTGAACTATGGCGTTCGCTAGATAAAGCTCTTTTTCCTTCCACAAAAAAATGTGCATCGTAGAGAATACCTATAACGTCAATGACATTCATGTTTTGTGTTTCATACTATTCATGCTTTCAGAATTCCAAATCCACAATATTTTACAAAATAAGCTGTTCATGGTGTTAACTCATTTATATGGGTTAAGATGTCCGAGTGCGAGTGATCACCCCCGTGAGTGGATCGGACACCCAATAGTCGGCGTTGGTCACTCACACAGGGAGCATGATCAACCATCGAAGCACGTGGGAGTGTTTGTGCGCGAGCTCTGAGTGGTCACCGCGCTCGCTAATGCTGCCCTAAATAAGCAGTATCAACATGTCGCCGAACACGTTTGTCATGCCCACGCTGCCTCCTGCTCTGTCATAGATCAGGGGTAGCGGTTGGCTGGATTAAAACCAAACACCTCCCTGTGCCGAGCGTGAGGGCCGGATAGCCGCCACAAAGGATTCCAATTACGGGAATAGGCCAGCGATGACCGTGCAAAACGCTATCGCGGGATAGGGCCTCAGGCGATTAATTGGCCCGGTGGCCGAAATGAAGCCATTACTGGTGGTTTGGTCATTGAGCGCGGTTTAGGTTGTTGGAATGATATTTAGTTATTTCAGACCGATGGGAGACAATTAAAACTGCCCGCTGATGCATATGGGGGAGCACGTTCAGCGCCGTATGTGACAGGTCAATGTCGAGAGAGAGAGAGAGAGAGAGAGAGAGAGAGAGAGAGAGAGAGAGAGAGAGAGAGAGAGAGAGAGAGAGAGAGAGGGAGAGAGAGAGATAGAGAGAGTGAGAGTGAGAGTGTGAGAGAGAGAGAGAGAGAGAGAGAGAGAGAGAGAGAGAGTGAGTGAGTGAGTGAGTGAGTGAGTGAGTGAGTGAGTGAGTGAGTGAGTGAGTGAGTGAGTGAGTGAGTGAGTGAGTGAGTGAGTGAGTGAGTGAGTGAGAGAGAGTGAGAGTGACAGCGATAGCGAGGGAGGAGAGTACACGAGAGAGAAGTTCGTAAATGCATTACATATCATCACTCATACAGCTTTGAAACCATACAAATGTATTTCAGATAGCGTATAAAATAAGACAGTTAAATAAATGGTGTCCGTACCTAAAGATAGACATAGCCACCCTATATTTAGCAGGCACCTGCGCTAAGTAGCACGGCTAAAAATGTAGCTGACAGACGCGAGAAGCCGCAGTGGGACAAAACCGGACCCATCGTGAGGCTTATCTTGAGTCCTAGACAAAGGAAACTGCATCTTACAAGCTCTATAGGAAGACGTTATTATTGTGTTAGTCCTGAATCTATACGTAGTCGTATACGCCAAGGCCCAAGAGTGCTTCATCTCGGTGTTGGTAGGAATAACCAGACGCCGCCATGCTCTGTTATAAACTGATCCAAGTCGGGATTACATTTTCGCTGAGAAATTGGTTATATTCGCACGGCTCTTATGGATAATCACATGCGCGAAAGCAGCTCCAAAGACTCAACGCCACAAAGCATCCTGATGTGACACGCTAGACGCATAAATCAGGCTAGGGGAACTACACCGCAATCGTTCCCAGATAATGACATCGATAAATCACGCATAAATTCCTAGTCCACCGCGTCTGGCCGGGCCGGCCAGCCGGCGGATTTGGCAGTCGGTCCATCCATTAGAGTCTGTAACGACGCCGGTGGTGCCCGGACCAGTAATCACTCTGACCATCAGGGAAGGCACACAGACCGCCTGGCCGCCGCCCTGGCGGTCACACGGCACAGCGCGTCGTATAACGGCCCGGCGCACACCCGGCAGAAGCACCTCCCCGTATTAATGAACTCGTTTCACCGGCGCCGCCACTGGCCATTCCGTGGTGATTGTCGCGTTCCACCGGGCCTAATCTGGACCCTCGTGCGTCCCATTGTCCCCGCCACCCACCTGGCGCCCTGGGGCAGGAGCGGGGGCCTGCTCCGCTGCCAGCAGGGCAGGTGAGGTGGACGGTTGCGGCGGTCGGCCGGGCTGGGTGGGACCTCGTGTTGGGCCGGGTCGCCGGCCGGCCCGGGCGGGGTGGGCGCCGCTGCTAGGTGGCGCTGGCGGAGGTGCACCCGGTGACGCCGACGCTCCCCGGCGCGGCGCGCGGCCCCGCTCCGCCACCGCCGCAGTCGTGCCGGCGCGTTCGCAGGGAGAGTGGGAGCGTTTCGGAGCCGACAGTCGACCGGCAGTGAGTCTGTGACGAGAGTGGACCCCGGACCGACCGAGGAGATCAGCAGGATGGCTCGACTCGCACTCTGGCTGCTGGCGCTGAATCTGCTGCTGGCAGGTAGGTGTCCGAGAGACCCTGACAGGCAGACTCATCAACATTCCCGCACACAGCTTCCACATTCCGCGAGCGAAAGGTATTCCGACCTCAGAGCGGGCGCCGCATGGGAGGCGACTCCGATTACCGAGATGAAGACGAAACTGGCGAATATTGGTTCGGGAACGTTGCCTCGGTTTCGCATTATGAAAGCACAAAAACAAATTGTCGGAAAACAAAAGGAATTCATAAACATCAGCAAGGAACGAAAGACATTTGAAATATCATGAAAGAATGTCTGAGAAGTTCTGGTTAAGAAGTTTAGAAATTTAGTCCAGTTCAAATTAGCATAGGATTGGCGAGGAAAAATGGCGTTTTACTCTCAAGCAGAAGTACCTATAAGCAGCATGAACTCCAAACACGAATTCAGCTGAATAACATCAGCATGAATATCAGCGGAACCTGTTCCGATGATCGTGTGTTCCAAGTACCACTCACAATAACCCCCCGACCCGTTTACACCGGACATTCTTGTCCCCTGCCTGGCCGCCTGCACTCCTGTATAACACGTATGTGCCACGTGTTCGCCGGCACAGCGCGTTCTGTGCAGGTGTGCGGTAGGTACGTCGGGGCGACCGCCAGACCCAGATCCCAGCCGACATGTGTGCGGGCCAGCGCTCATACAACTACCCAGCACACCTGTGCGATCACTATGTCATGGCTCAGTCGCTGCATGCTCGCATATCCGGCTCTCATCGGATGAGACCTGACAGTTTTATCATGTCTCAGATGGCCGAGTCTGTATGCATGAATCCCAAGTAGGCACGTATTTATCTCCCGTACCATGAATTGTGTCGGTTGTAGTAGGTACAGCGTGCGGCAGGAAAATTGGATAGATCGTGCGTGTCGGAAGGAAACTCGCACAGATAATCTGATTGTGCAGCAGTGAAAAACGCTGATTGTTTGGAGATCTCATCAGGCTTGCAAGGCAGCAGACGGCTTCTGTTTTCCAAACTCCGGCGGGCCCGGCCAAGCCCATTCTGCGCCGTTCCTTGAGGAGAAAACTTCGTCCTTTGGACGGAATCGACCGACAACCACACGAAAGCTAGGAAAAACACCGAGGCCAATCACGAAGGCTGCAAAGACCAAATAGAAAGTTAACTTACATTCTTGCTGCATTGAACGGCTAGACCATGACACAGGGTCCAGCAATGCACCACTGGATAAACTGCATTCAAATCGTCAACGGATCTGTTTTAGGAAGTTCGTTTTGAATAGCATTCTATTCTGTCGTGATAGAGATCAGTTACAGCAATCCCGGTAATCCCAGCATATGGACGAGTTGATTTTTTTCATCGTTGAAGTCACGGAAGGCTAGTAAAATACATATGCATGACGCAAGCACGCAGCGTCGCTTAATGCCTTATAAAAAAGCTTTGAAATATACTAAAATAGAAGGCGAAGTAAAAACAGTATGCACAATTGCACACACGGTAATCAATACACCACAAAAAAACATCCTTCTGAGCCGAAGTGCTCGGCTGTCGCTCGCTCTGCTGATCTTACATCCGATGGGCCGCTCAGTTTGGACAGACGGCACTCCAAATATTGTCGCTGGGAGTTCTGGCGCTGGCCGGCAGCCCTACCGCTCCGGACCGGACTGGTCCAGTCGTGGGCACCTGGCTGGGGGCCAGATAACCAGAGGTGGCCGCTGGCACCGCAGTCTGATGGGCGCCCCGGGGTCTGATGGGCGAGTGGACGTCAGGTCAGGTCGCAATAGCTGCAGGTCAAGCTGTGTCAGGTCTAAGTGTTGCAGGGCAGGTCACAAATCCCACAAGTTAAGTTCCCTGGCGAGGTGCAGACGATCGGTTCGGGTCAGATCAGGTCAGGTCAGGTCAGGTCCAACCAGGTCAGTCAAATGGCGAAGACGCCCAACGAACCACTGCATGTCGCGCTATTACGACGGCAGCTCCTCGCTGACGGGCCTGAGCTCTGGTCCTGACCATATTACTGGACACGACGACAGCGTTACGAGCCATGTCAAATCCAGGGGCCACTTGCATCATGTCAGGGTGTCAGTGAGCCCCAGCGTGCATACTGCATACGACAGACCATGTTGTAGTTCACCACGGGCGGCAAGGTCAGGCCGGGATGGTAGCCGGAGCCGCAAGGCCTCCCTGATGTATGAGCTTATACCGGTGATCCGCAAGGCTATGAGCGCAGCCATTCGCTCTGTGTGGTTCTTCGAATGCCAGCAGTGCCGGCATTTTTTCACACGGCGCGCGGCCATGCACCGGGGCGTGTTGGGACGGGCCAGATAAAGCGGGCACGGCCGTGACACTGCTGGGAACGTTATGCAGCTCACCTGCGTCTTGGTTCAGACACTGGATGGCGAAAATGATGCCCGAAATGTGCAGAGAGCAATGCATATACTTCGGCTACCCAAGCTGCTACAATGCTTCGTGGCGATAATTCATTTATGTAGCTATTGCAATATCCCTGCGGCTCTTTGCAATCTCGGTGAAGCGCTGTTCCATGTAATGTATTGGAACCCGATAATATAGACGGGGTAAAATATCGTCTCGTCTTCCGACCACAATTAGAGGATTTGATAAAGCCGCCGTGGACGAACTCGCTGTCACGTGATAGCGAGGTCATTAATCGTCAGATCTGGAGACACCGTCCGGCACTCACAATTGATTGCCAACGCGCTGCCGGGACGGTGCCTTTATCCAGGCCGATGCTAGGTTATCTGGCCAGTATAGGGGCTAAGTGACCACAGCAGCTAGCCTGTGTCACCTGGTTTCAGTTTGGTCGTCAAGTGATACAGGTTTGAATATGAGGATCTTCAGCTAGGTAAAAGTGCAGCACTGGGTCTGTACCGACCTTCAGTTATCTACATTTGCATATGTGATGTACGGCTCCAACAAATCGTCTTCCTAATGGTTTTCGAGATCGAGGGCAGCCATCAGTGGAAGTGCTCTTCTGAGAGAAGCCGCGTCCCATGTATATTGAAGTCGTACAATTATCATTCAATTTCCTACGACCATTTCATACCTTATAGATAGCCACAAAAAATGTTCGGAGCAAAATGACACCTCATCCGTATCTACAGCAGCTTGTTAGACATACAGGGTATTCCATTTCGTCGCTCCCTCCCACTGAGCCGTTCTATAATTTCGACCAATTCCTGCTCACCGTTCCGTCCAATAATTGTTTCGCCGCGGGCTGGACCGTTTCAATTACTCTTCGGACCGCCGTGGGCGTGCGGCCCGCGGCGGCGGTGGTGACCTTCCATCACTGAGAGGAGCGGGAGGACTTCACTGCACCGCTCCGCGCGGACTTCACTGCAGACGCCCACGCGGACTTCACTGCACCGCTCCGCGAGGACTGCACTGCAGAACCCCACGCGGACTTCACCGCAGAACCCCACGCGGACTTCACTGCACCGCAGGGTTGTGCTCGACTAAAAAAAAAATTGCCGACTCGACTCATCATTCAACTTCAGAAAGCCCTGACTCAACTCTGACTCAAACAAGGAGCTGATTTTTTCCCTTGACTCGACTCATGACTCAAACGGCTCAACGAAAATATGAGTTGACTCAAACTTGACTCAAATTTTTGTTGAGTCAAGTGTGTTGACTCAAAATTGACTCAGATAAAAAAGTTGTTGAGCGGGGGGGGAGGAATCCGGCAGCAGGGCCAGGCCTAAGTTGTTAAGCGGGGGGGGGGGATGAAAAGCTTATCTGTATAATATATTGTTTCTACTTTCTAGAAAGTTGAGTCAGCTGACTCATCTTTCCTAAATGTTTTTGACTCAACTCAATGTCATATGTTATTTTACCGACTCAACTCTGACTCAACTCAACACCTTTATATTTTTTCCGACTCAACTCTGACTCAACTCAACAGCTCAACATTTTATCCGACTCGACTCAAATCTGACTCATTTGAGTCAGAGTTGAGTCAAATTTCTGACTCGACTCATGAGTCAAGCACAACCCTGCTGCACCGCTCCGCGCGGACTTCACTGCGCTGCTCCGCGCGGACTTCACTGCGCTGCTCCGCGCACTTCTTCACTGCAGAACCCCACGCGTGTCGTTAGTAGCTGTTTTATTTCGACACAATGAAACTCTACGGCTGCCTTCCGGTCATCGGGCCGCCCTGCCGGCTCGTAACGTCTCAGGAAGCCGCCGGTGCAAGGTCATGCAGTGGAGGGGTGTCGTCTCGTGCAGTGTCCTGCAGCTGTCTAACGGCGACCGTCAGCCAGTCACCTCCTGACCAGTCGCCATGGTCAGTCACGCGATCCTGCACTGAACGCTGAGCCTCTCACCGCCGCGGTGACGAGGATGATGTCCAGTCTTTGTGAGAACTCGGACAATAGAGGGCCTTTCCAGTGGGAAAGCGTGATATGGAACGTGCTTCTTCAAGTAGTTCAACAGCTCCCAAGAGGTCCTTGAGGACTCAACATCACCGCGACACGTCTATATAGCCTGGCCTCGCGTTGCCGCCCTTCTCAGTGGCCCGAATTGGCGTTATTCTCCGAATAAAGCAGGATGTATTGCCGCTTCATTTGAGCTAACGACGGCGCCGATCCATCAGACCCAACTAGGTCCCGGGGACGGGCGCGGTCAGAGCCTGGGGATGACACGGTCAAAGACCGGAGACGGGGACGGGAGACGGGAGACGGGAGACGGGGACGGGCGCAGTCAGAGGCCGGAGACGGGGGACGGAGCGGTCAGAGACGAGAGACGCAGTGTTTGGTATGTAAGCATTGTTAAATTCAATATAAAAAGAGCTTTTCTTATTTTATCGCAATATTTTGGGTATTTCTTTTATTCTTACCACTTAATTTGTCAGATGAGTCACACACCTGACATTTCCGTATCGTCTCCTCGCTGCGGCCGAGTCTCTCCCGCCAGCTCGGGCGCCTGCCCTGCTCCCAGTACCGTCCCACGGCTGCGTGCGGCGGTCGCTCCCCTGCACCCGCCGTGCACCCGCGGTGGCCGGCGCCGGTCCCACAG